CCCTCACTACAAGAAAGACATCAAGGTGCTGAAGAGGATCCAAAGAAAAGCAATGAAGCTGATGAAGGGTCTAGAGGACAAGTCTTATGGGGAGCAGCTGAGGGAACTGGGATTGTTTAGTCTGGAGAAGAGCAGGCTCAGGGGTGACCTTATCACCCTCTAACTACCTGAAAGGAGGTTATAGTGAGGTGGGGGTTGGTCTCTTCTCCCAAGTATCAAGTGATAGGATAAGAGGAAATGGCCTCAAGTTGCACCAGGGGAGGCTTAGATTGGACATTAGGAAATGTTTCTTCACTGAAAGTGTTGTCAAGCATTGCAACAGGCTGCCCAGGGAAGTGGTGGAGTCACCGTCCCTGGAGGTATTTAAAAGACGCTTAGATGAGGCGCTTATTGACATGGTTTAGTGGTGGGCTTGGCAGTGTGAGGTTAATGCTTAGACTTGATGATCTTAAAGGTCTTTTCTAACCTAAATGATTCTATGATCTCATAGGGCACAAAATACTTACACATTCCTTCATGTGAGTCCTTTCCAAAGCATCCCAGATTTGTTCCTCACTGTACTGATTGAAAGGATCCAAGTTTGATCTTGAGGGGGAAGCAGAAAACATAACCAGAATTTTTATTCAGCAATGACTGTCAAAACAGCAGTGTGCTAATTCACCCAGACAGATGATTCCCATCTAGCCTTCCACTGACAGAACTTCCCTGCCAAGGAAGTCAGCTGCTCCCAGCACACTAGGGTTAGAGTAGCCAAGGAACAAAAGAGTAGAGATGGAAGACAAGTATATAAACAGTTCAATCAATTCCAAAGGGAAAGAAAGACTTCCAGAGGATGACCACATCCAGTTCTGCATTGGGCCAACTAAAATCATTTTACTGTGCTTTTTATGTTTCAAAACCAGAGAACAGAAGCTAGGATGCCCAAGAACTAACACCTCACCAGGCACCTATTTGAGTTCAAGTATAAGCTGGTAGCCCACTTAGTCCTTCTTGCCTTCTTATGGTCTCACTAACCTCACAGTGCCACTGAATAGCACAGGTTCCTGAGGAATTATTGAGAGTTTGCTGCGAAGATCTGCCAAACCAATGTCATTGATTTTCACTCCATCAATTTTAATGCAGCCTCCAGACAGTTCAACAAGACGAAAGAGTGCCATTCCAAGGGAAGACTTCCCTAAAACGAGACAGGAAAAGCAATACTTGTGTTTCCACAGAGTCATAGCAGCTTTGAGATAAGAAAGAATTTTAAAAGCTGTCCATGTGTAGGAAAAGTGTTTTAAAATACCATAAAGTCCTGGCAAACAATGCTGGTAAGTGCTGAGGTTCATCATTTAAACTTCTAAGCAATTATGGGGGCAGCTCCTAATCTCTTCTCACAGAAGCCACCCCTGCAGTGCTGCCCCACCTCACTACCAAAACATTGCCACATAAACCAAATACAGCAACACTGATTGCTTATTTAGAAACTACTTTTTGGAGTTGATTTAAGCCATCTCACGAACAGGGGTTTCGATTCTTCACATTACAGACTTCTGAGATAGCTTAGAGCCAAACCTGGCTGCAGCATCAGTACGAAACACTTTCAAGAGAGTCAAATAATGCAATGAGCATGTTGTAGGTAGCATTCTGTGCTAGTAGGTGGCTTGGGCTGTTAAACATTATGGGCATACTGGCTCAGGCATAGTAGGATATCCCTCTGCTTTAAATGGAAACTTGTTTTCATTATTATTTACAGGGATCCTGCTTGTGTACGCACACGAACAGAATCCACCACTGACAGACTGCAGGACCACTCCACTCCTGTGCAATTAATTTATTCAAACACAGAAAACAGAGGAAAATGAATGACTGCACCACTCTATCCCATTACCATTCTGTAAAAGCAGTAATTTAACTCAGCTTAGTGTTTTTCCTTACCTGACCCTGTCCTTCCCACAATGCCAATCTTTTCCTTTGGTTTGATGGTAAAGGACACTTTTTTAAGTACTAGAGGGAGGTTCTCTCGGTACCGCATCTCTGCGTTTTCAAAAACAACTTCACCTTCCTGTGGCCAGTCCAGAGGAGGAGTTTTATTCTTAATTCGAGCAGGAGCTTCCAGGGAGAGTGTCTTTTAAAAAAAAAAAGACCAGACATTCAGTTTCCAGTAAACAAAACACCAGAAACAGAATTTATAAGTTGCAGCTTTCA